TGTATTATTATCAGGCCCTGCTATAATGCAGCTTTAATTTTCTCACGCTGTTATTTCATCCATATAAATGTCTTCACAGAGCTGTTTTATTGTTAAAACAAAGAGGCATTTGATTGATTTGATTCTAAGATTAAGGTTAGATATTTAAGATTTATTTAAGAACAATATCTTTTTAAGTTTGCATTTTATGTGTATGTTTACAGTTAATCACACACTGAACTGAGCTCTAATGGTTCTGTTTTATCACACACATGCAACCTTAAATGTCTATACACTACCTGTTGTAAATGCACAATCAGTAGTTTATAATCATCAAGTTAAAAGGCACACCTGAGTTAATCACAAAGATATTTAACACTTGAAAAATGTGGAAAAATACATCCACATCAACTTTACCTGATAATTTAATGATTCTGCAGTTCAGATTAAATGTAAAAATCAAGCAAATAAAAATGTTATTCGTCTCTAAAATGGAAATTAGGTCGAAATTGAAGGTGCTCTTGTAAATCTGTGGTTTCTGTGTAATGGGTTAGGAGCCGGCTGCGTTTTATTTTATATTTGGAAAAATTTAATTATGTTAACAAATACATTTTAAAGATAATAACACATTTCTGTATGTTAAATGAGGAGAAAATCCAGACCCTCTGTGGGGGGATGGAAGCACTGTTGACCCGACTGCGTCTGAGAACCACAGCAGCAATAAATAACAGTGATGGAGTTCATGTCAGATCTATTTGTTTCTGTTAACAGTCATAAGTGAAATCAACTGCAGGCTCTTTACTGAAGTGTTGTAAATACCAGACGAAGCCTGTGGGTTCCTGGTTTGGTGGTCTTGGTATTTACACCACTGATATTAGTGGAAGAACAGCACCTTGTTATTACAGCGGCCTGCTGGCGATCCCACATTATTACTGTTAACATGAAATATCAGTCATATTCAAAGTTGAGGAGAGTAACTAATCAATCTAGTCAAACTAATTTCTTAGATTTACTTAGGTAGGGTGACCCAGCCAGAAAGTACATCTTCATATTGGTGCATTATTGTGACTGTCAGTGGGAGCAAGGAAAAAACAAGCTCCACCATTTTGTTATGCAAACAAATCTGGCTGACATTTCAGATCTACTGCCAGTTTTGAAATTATAAAACATATATTTATTACTGTGTTCTCATTTGAAATGGCAGAGTTGCTTTTGTGAGTTAGGCTTGGTATGAGTATCTCTTGCCGTTTCCTGCTGCACATTGCATTGTAGGGCAAAAATGTCCATCAGCTGCCCACTAAAAATCTGCTGATTTGAGGGCATTGTGCCGGCGTATGGGCTTACATGCACATCACATAAACTGCAATGTCCCTCATTTGAGTACAGCCGGGGATCTCTGTCTCGCTCCTGTTTGCCTCTCAACTATTCTGTATATTATCAGTTGTATACAGTCAAATAATTATAGTATGTTGGCATTTTAAAATACACATTATGGTTTTTTTTTTTCCTCCACGTAAATACACTGAAATCATAGTTATAGTAGATATTTTAGATGAAATAATGAAATGAAACAGAAGCAGTGTTGCTCACTAGTATAGCTATGGGGTAGTAAGTCAACAGCTGTGCAAACAAATCTGCTTCTATTGTGTTCCTAGGCAACAAAGGCATTAGATTATATTGTGTATGCCACCAACCATACATCTCTCTCTCTGGAAATTTGTTCGGTAAAATTAAAAGCTTTACCTGGTTAAACATATTCACCAGATGCTTGACGTTCACTGTCATGCAGTCAGAACCATTTGTTGCCCAAATGGTTTCACAGTTCTTTGTATTGTACAGACTTCTGCTTTCTCCACATTCGGATTCAGGCTGCATGCTAAACACTCAGCAGGAGCACAGTTAACTCACCCAGCGGTAACAGAGCATGCACATACTACCAGATACTGAACACATAAATTCAACAGAGACCCACTGTACCATCGCAGTGTGTTGATTAATAAGTTGCCATGGTGGAGTGGGAGTGCCAGCATCTCCACAAGTAACAGCAGTTTGTGTTTAGCAGCTGCCGCAGGGAGGAATGTGGAGCTGACAGCTTGAATGGGCCACCTTGTTGATGTGTGGGTTTTTTTTTTTTTTTGTATCAGCTAACGGTCAGTTGATGGGCAGGAGACTATGTGACCTGCATGGACTAACGTAATGCTCAACTGAGCAGAAGCTTCAGTGATTGCAATCTGCCTTGATGATTTGTGTGTGATTGATAGTGGCTGTCATCTTTTCCCCCTGATGTGCTACAATTTTTGGAAATCTATAAAATTGTCTTCCCCAGACTTTTTTTTCCTGCTTTGTTGAAGCAGCCAGCCACGAAACAAGTTGACTGCAGTGTTTACAGCGAGTTTAACTCTGGGTTTGCTAGATTTTATACCAATAAAGCTTCTTTAAATACACCCTGCTCCTCCACACTCAGCTCTGCCCTGAGCTGAGTACTCATATCATGAGCGTGTGTTTCTGTGTTTGTGTTTGTTTATTCCTTGTATTCAGACCAAACCATGCCGAAGACGGCGCTCAAGGCATCTTCGCTGGCGTCTGCAGCTGTGAGCTCATCAGCCCTCCGTGTGCATATGATTGTGTGTAACCTCAGTATGACATATGCTGCTGCTGCTGCGTTTCACAGCATTTCTCTCTAGTCAGTGACGTTTACACAAGGTCAAACAGGGAGAGCATCTGGTGGGCGAGACGCAGAGTATTTGAGGAATGTCAGGGAGCATCTGGGTCTCACACACTCAGAAATATAGACACACATCTACAAAATGCTTTCACACACAACATGTATTTCCTACTCTTACAGAATGTCTCTCTCTCAGTCTCTCTCAGTCACACACACACAC